GTGTGGTGTTGTTTTTGGTTTATAACATGGGATGTCTTGTTTTTAGGATAATGTTGTGAAAAATATGCTTTCTTGCTGAGTACATTTTAGGGAATAGATGTGTTGAAAGAGTATTGAGTTGAAGTAGTATTGAATGTTACCAGTGTTGGGTATGATGAAATCATGGTTTCTTGAAATTAGATGGAATTTGTGAAGTTAAGCTAATGAAACAATTGAATTGAATTAAAATGGCTGCTTGCTTAACTGAATTTTCATGGCCGGGAAGATCAAGTTAGGGTTCATAATACTTGGTAAAGTTTTGGTACTGAGCTTTGCTGGCATAATTTTTGTGTATCATGTAAATGAAGTTTGCCAACTTCGTTTTCCTTCATATTTTTAGCAGAATCAATAAACTGTGAAAAGATTGTGATCTAACCCTGTCGAAATAGTAATGTGCTTTGTAACTTGAAGATTTGTTATAATTTTGTTGAGGTGGTACAGTTTTTAACCATTTTGGTGATACCTAGTCGATAGAATTTACGTCGATGGTTAATTCTGGCAGAAAACGAGGCATGATTGATGTGAACCTAAGGTAAGAAGGCGGACTTGAATCAAGAAATGCAGATTTATTATAGAGACGAGTTATCAATTTTCATTAGCCCATCTTTAGTAATTATTCATGCTGAAATCTAAGAATTTGTTTATTAAAGACTCAAGTATTAGAGTACTGCATGACTTTATTTTTTGTTTCCTTTTTTGGACATCGACTTCCCCCCTTATGCGTGCTTGCTCTTTTGGCATTGGTTTTGAATTTTATTAATTCCGATTAATTTCATATTTGTGCGTTCGCATCACGATTATAGTACTCAAACCTTTTTCGTTTTTCCATTACCATGTTGAAACTTTTCTAAAGGCAAGCGAGACATTGTGAGAAATAGGGCACTAACTGAAGAACACGCTAGAGACAGCTTCGAGAATCTTCTTTTCAGCCTCTGTCGATTTCGTGAGCTGACTGGCGCATATCCACAGAATATAACTGTAAGGTTTTTTCCAACTTTTTATGATATTTATTATATAGTTCAAAAAGTCGAAGTTACTTTATTTGATCT